CAAATTTTCAATACGACTATTTACGCCCCGTATAGTCCACACTATATGAACCACTCCAAATATCAATATTCTTAATGGCGGGATGATGGAATGTGGGACCATTATTATATGAATTGTAATTTGGCTGATGGTAGGGTTGTTGATACGATTGTTGGTAGGGTTGTGGTTGATAACGTGGCTGAGGAGGTGGTGGTGGAGGTGGATTATAATATTGTGGTCTGTATTCTTGGCGTGGTGGCTGTGGTGGTGGTGGGGGAGCATAAGAGGGTTGTTGATATGGTTGTTGATAATAGTTATTGTTATTATTATTATTTAAACTAAATTTGCTTGCAGCAATTGGTCGATTGAATTTTTGGTCTTTATAATAAACGGCGGGATCTTCACGATATTGGCCATCATCAATTTCGTTTGGTCCTAATGGATATGGATTGTTACTGGTTAGTGTTGGAGGTGGTACGTTAATATCACTTCCTAAAATTGTAAGCAATTGTAAAGAAAATTTTCTATTAAAAATAAAAATATATTTTGCATACCGGCTGGTTCAAAACCTCGTTTACTGGCACCATACTCTATTTCACGTACTTGACCCTGATCGTCTACGAAACCATATTTGCCAAAGACTTCGCCATTAGCATATTTTGTTTCAATTTTGAAACTTTTGTCGGCGGCTTCATAACCATATGTGTATGAACCATCATCGTTATGGCGATCGATTTGTTTTAATATCGGTACTGGGGTTGTGTAGTCTCTGTGCTGCGCATAGGCAATGTTCAATGTTGCCAAAATGCAGGAAACTATTAACTGAAAAGTAAATTATTTTTTAATTCACATGTATAATAAGTAGAAAATATATTATAAAATAGAAATACATAGAATATATATAGACAATGTATATAAAGAATAGTCTATTATTGTTTTTAAGCCATATAGTAGCACACGAATCCATAGATTATTATAAATAGAACCAACAAAGAATCCATATGTCTATGGTGAATTTCAAGTTACCACATTTTTTAGAACACACAATTTTCCTCTCCAACAAATCGACCCACTTTAATGTATTCATACATATTAGGCGTAAAAAAAAAAATTTAGATAAAAAATACAATTTTTCTTTTATATATTAAAAATTTATACAATATATATTAAAAGTGAAAAACTTTTAGATTTGTTTGTTATGTTAAGCCTTTTAGTCATCTACTTCACTCTTTTCCAGGTATTCTGAAATCCACGGTCCCCTCTTCGGAATCTATTCTCTATGCATTCCTGGGTGTTGGTTTTTAACTATTGCAGTTACAAATGATTTACGAAGATGCTCAAACTTTAAGGCAAATATTAAAAAAGAAACTCAACGAGAGAATTGTTGGGTACTCCGATGCTTCGATGAACTCTACATAAGTTGCCATGGTGGAAGAATATTTGGAACTTAACAATTACTTTCTATACATTTGTCCAGAAATACAAACGAAACAACTACATTGGTTAAGAGACGACTGACTTCCAGTGTTATGATATCTTTTTTTAGTTTTTAAATTTTGCTCCACATTAATCTTGTAATATTTATTCGCATTCTTGGGCACCAGCATTATTAACAACGCCGTGATAGTAATTAGTGTGACCTCACCTATAATAACGGTAGTGTTGATGCATGTTGTAAGACATTTTGAAATTGCATATATTTTAAAAAAAGTAGACGTGATTTTAACAACTTAATAGTAAATATACTAACATACTAGGCGTCAGTATGTTTCACATTGAAATAGAAATTATTGATACGTCTAAAACGTATCATACATCTAACGTTTATAACGTCTATTATATTATATATAAGTTTTACATTAGTTACTCTGATATGCGTATGAGATATAACGTCTATAACGTAATGTATCATATAAGTTTTATATTAATTACTCTCAGATTATGGATAGACATAGCCCATATATTTGCACGAAAGAATATCTTTATGATTTTATTAAATGTCTTTGTATTTCGGTGGACCATGCTTCGATAGGAAATTTATGTACAGAAAAAAAAATTATTTGAATTATTTTTTATAGAAATCTTCATATCAAAAAAATCCTTTTAAATATATTTAAAAATACTTTTTAATGAATATAAAACTCAAAAAAGCGTTGCTGCATTGAATATTTTTATAAAAAATTGCTACAATTAATGCAGTTTAGAAATAAAATTTATTTGCTATATAAACTACATTTTTGCAATAGCTTAACTACAATACATTTCAAGGCCGTACGAGTTTTGCTATCCATTTTACAAATCATAAATATTTATTTATTTCAATGGGTTCCATTAGAGAGCAACCATTACCTACCATTAACCTAGCCGTAAACCGTATTCATTGTATCTCTAAGATAAAGTAAGGCAAATGCAATGAAAATAATTTCGACCAGTTACATACTCGTATATTACGAAGTAGTAAACTTTTTCTATGCATGTAATTTGTATCTTTTTTTACTTTAAACTTGTTTTAACATTTTTTTAACTCTACATCATATTAGTTGGGGTGTGCTTAGCTGTCTACTGTCCATTTCTACTGTCTGTCCATGTATTTATCACGGGAATTATTACTTACTCATATGTCTCTTGAATATTGCCCCATATTAGGCACGTGCCAGCTGCACTTTTATAATACAATTTTAATAGATTACCGAGATATTACATGCAACATGTTTAATCAGCATTTTTTACTAAATTATTGTGTTTACTTTATAAATCACATTTTCATAATTAATTCTTGCATATTGAATTTAATTTTAAAAGGTGTTTATATTTTTTTAACAAAACTGCAACCGAACTATTAAAAAGGAAAGTTTAAACTAAAAGATTTCAATGATTTTCATATAAAAGATACACTCCACTAACATGACTATACTCGTACTTAAGACCATAAAACCTATAATAGTTTTCATTTAAATAATTTCATGTTTTGATCGTAAATGCTCTATGACTAATATTAAAATGACTAATCTAATAAATAAACATACCTATATACATACATATATATCAGTAATAAAAATATTGAATAGTACTAAGTTTTAAAAGTTATACAATTTATAAATTCATCATCTCACAAATTTGTTACAGAAAGGTATGGAGTATGATAGTTATAGATATTTTACTACTCCACGAAATTAAATTCTATTCTTCTCAAGCTACAATATTTTAAAATATTATTTAATTATATATATTTTTTAAATAATGTAATAATTTTTGTTCATAAGTTATTGTGATAAAAACATTATTAAGTCCCTATATAACAGTTAACAGAACCTTTCCTCAAACTTCAGATATGAATACAAATATATCTTAACGGTATATTACATTGTTTTTCTTAGATAAAAAAAAACCATACAATTAAAATTTATTTCGTAATTTGGTTAGGTTGCATAGAAATCATGTAATTGTATTTTAACAAAAACAAAAATATAATTCTCATCAAGTTTAAGTTACTTGAATATATTTATCAGTTTTATTTATTGATATAATATGTTTATGATTATTTTAATATTTTGGTGATATATTAATATGTTTGCATTTCTCCAATTGTTTAGACGTTTGCAGTTTTTTGAATGACAACTTTATAATTTCTTATGGAGGATTGAGTGTTTTGTTACTATTAAATAATTAGTATGTGAATTTCAACTAGATAATTGTCTTTTGCCACAATTTTCTGGAGAGTATCTATACCAAATTGTACAATAAATTCAATTGTTATAATTTTGTTATAAAAAAATTATAATGATGGTTATAATTTTCGCATATAAAAAGAATAGTTTAATATACCAATTTCTAATTTTATGCGTGAAAAATTATAATTCTTATTTGGTTTATATAATATAATGCATTAAAAGAAACAAAATTGTGATAAATTAACAGTGTTGTTTATATTTTAATGCAATATGTCTGTAAATAGGTATTCGGTTTTAATATTACAAATAATTTTCTTTTTTTTTTTATTGTTTTAAGTATTGAACTTTTCTAAATAAAAATTGACCAATAATAATAATAGAAAATATTAGCAAAAAACTTTACTATATTTTTATACTATATTTTAATTGTTTAATTACTATAAGATAATTGTTATACTAATTTGTATTAGATTATTGTTTTGTTTTTTTTACCACCATTTCCTAACAACTACTTCAATTCATCAACAAAAGTATAACTATTGTAGACTGTATTATAAATTAAATTTGAAATTAAAATTTATAAAAGAATTATAATTACAGTTTTCACACAAAGAACGACTTTAACATTTTAATAAACTAGTTCTGCTTTACAAACAATTTTTTTAAGCTCAAGGACGGAATATTTAAATATATTTTTTATAAACAAGATACAAATACATATAACAATTAAATCAAGTAAACTTTTCTATAAATTAATTTTAATGTTTAATGTATATTATTCAATACGAAAATGTCAATGCAAATTTTGACATTAAAATAAAAATTATTTAAAATTGCGTTCTATTTATAATATATTTATAAAGTAATTATAATTTAATTATTTTTTTATAAATCAAAATAAGTTAATAAGATAACGCAATTTTAACTTAACTTAAAAATAAAAATACATCCCAAGTTTATAGAAAATTATAATTTTTTTTATTAATTTTGTAATTTGTATTGAAACTTTCTAATGAGTTATTACTGCTCTTATATACATATTTAAATAGAAATATAAAAATTTAAAAAAATTTTTTTGCTCATATATTCTAAT